CACGTCACGGTACTGGTTGGGATAGCCAAACTTTTTATGGGTCGTTCATTCGTTTCGATGGTAAATTGGTACTGATGCATGCTGCATGGTCAAAAACTGCCATCAGACCAGCTTGCTTTTAAGCAGCTCTCTAATGAGTGGGCCATTGACAGCCTTATCAAGGTGCTATAAGCACTTAGTGTCGTGAACGGAACCTGTGTTCGAGAATGATTATGCATCGGGAGAGGGTGAAACTATCCTTCACATCCGGATGCGGCGTGCCAACCACTGTAGCACCGCGCACGTGCACCAAGATCAGCCTGACAATACTTTTACTGTATATCTGCCTTTCAAGATAGAATAGCATTTCTTTTTGCGGCCTCCTTTAAGCAGAATGCATCTCTTTCTGTGTAGCGACTTCATCATTGCTGGCTTTTCGCAGGTCTTCCGCAACAAATGCTTGGATATCTTTATGCCTTACTGATAGTGAATACGGTGATTTTAACTTTTGATACTGTACTATTTCGCTGAAACCCAAAACATTGACTTTCTCCCGAAAATTGTTCCGGATCGGAAGAAAATCGAACCACCCCTCTTCACGTTCGGGCGCAATAGAAAGGAAATCGAACCATCCCTTTTCACGTTCGAACCACCCCTCTTCACCACTGTGCCATTGGCCCTTTTGCTCCAAATTCAGCCTGACAGCACATCTACTGTGTATCTGCCTTTCAAGACAAGATACACCTTCTTTCCTTCTCTTTTTCTTTGTGGTGGATTTTTTGGCCGGCTTTCGCGGGTATTCCGTCACAGATATATAGCCCTAGGTCAAAGGGCTTGGCATAGTTACACTGCGCGTGTAAAGATTGCCCAGTAACATTATCTTCGGGCAGTCTTGATATTCGTTTTATTTCAAAATGCATTTTAGAAAGAACAGCTGTACGATTTAAATGTACTGGAAATGAAGGAAAATATAAAAGCACTGAGTGATAAATTACAAGAAAGCCAGGAAAAGGAAGTAAGCTTGAGACGTGAGATGGTGGATTTGGAGCTGCTTATTGATCGTGAAAAGAATACAATAAAAGTACTTCAGTCCGAAATGAGCAAAAAAGAGTAAGTCTTTTACAATGATATCTCACGGATAAATTCACTGAGTGTATTTTCGATCGTCGCCGTTTTTCTGTGGTTATGATGTGTTATTTATTCTCCGATGTGCTCATGATTCGAGCGCTTTTTTCCTGTGCTTTGTTCTTCCGGAAAGGAATTTCAGATCAAAATATCTTAAGGTGCTTTATCAAAAGTCATTCCCTACTCCCTCTCCTGTATTCGCCGTTTTTGAAGAAGCACGAGTACTTGGAATTGGGCCGAATGGTAGCATGTTCCCAATAGCATCGATCCATGGCAAGGCTGTTAATGGCTTCCTCTCCATGGAGTAACTCAGTAGCAGACCGACAGCGGTTTTGGCTCGTTGGTGTGCGTCTGCACCAGAAATATGAGACTGCTCCATTGCGCAAAACTCGCGGGAAGCTGGCCAAAAAGCACCACAATGAAAAAAGAAAAGAAAGGTGTATTTTGCCTTGAAAGGCAGATGTGCTATCAAGCTGAACCTGAAGCACAAGGACAAGTGGTGTAGTGGTAACACACGTGAAGAGGAGTGGCTCGATTCCCGCTCGGAAGTGGGTCGAATGGTAACATATTCCCAATAGCATCGATCCATGACAAGGCTGTTGATGGCTTCCTCTCCATGGAGTAACTCAGTAGCAGACCGACAGCGATTTTGGCTCGTTGGTATGCGTCCACATCAGAAATATGAGTCTGTCCCATTGCGCAAAACCCGCGGAAAAACTGGCCAAAAAGCGCCACAAAGAAAAAAGAAAGGTGTATTTTGCCTTGAAAGGCAGATGTGCTATCAAGCTGAACTTGAAGCACAAGGACAAGTGGTGTAGTGGTAACACACGTGAAGAGAAGTAGTTCGATTCCCGCTCGGTCCAGAATAATTTTTGAGGAGGATTTCATTCACAAAATGCCCGGGTTAGTAGTGTGGGTATCACATGTATGATGTTGTTGGGTCATTGTTTCTTTTTTTTGCACTGATAATGTAGAAATAAGCTTACTTCAACATTATTTAGTGGGCAAATGAAATTTGAACTGGAAAAATTCGAGCAGGAGCGCCAAAAATGGGACGAGAAATTAAGACTCAAAAATGAAGAACTTGCCAACGCTCGATGCAACATTGATTGTGTTCAAGCAAAATGCTTAGAATTGGAGAAGACGCTTCAATCGGTGGAAAGTCGGCTAGATCAAAGTAACTGGTTTGCTTAAAAAACAAACGCTGTCGAGTGTTTTTTGGCCAGTGCCTTTCGACTTTTTTGTCCGACTGTCTCGGATTTGGGCTCTGTAATTTGTTGGAGTTTCGAAATAAGGGTTTTGTTTGGAATATGTGTGTACAGTAAGGGCCGCAGAGAATTCGCAATTTAGTCTTCAGGGCTGATGCTCGATAAAAATCTGCACACTGATAGTATTGCTGATTGTAATCGGCCAACTGAATCGTGGTTTTGAGCGTAGTGCGTGCATTGTGTTCACTTAATGCAGTAGTTTTCTGTTCGAACTGGACGCAGCGCAGCCGCAGCAGTTACTTTGAGAACCCTTGGAGGCTAAAAACAGAGATATAGGAACCCAGCATGCAATTATACATTCAGGCGCATGATTGTTTACGTCCGTTATGTCACACCTTACCCTTTATCACAATACATGTCGTCGACCGGGTTATTGAGCACACTTAGCCAGCAGCTTTTTTCTAAAGAGACAGTTTAACGCTTCTTTCTTTTTTTTACTTCACTCACTTGGAATACTCGGATCAGATCTAATTTAAAGTTTATTTCTCACTCATCTGCTTAGGTGGCAGCTTTTCCAATTGTTTTGACCAATGCTGCATCGCTTGATGATCAGCTTACCACAGTGTTCATGGCGTTCATTTTTTCTGCTAAAGGGATTAACGGCTCAACAATTTTTATAACTTTGTGCAGCACAGAAACAACTTAAGACACAGCAATATTGATTATTCGAGAATAGGCGTATATAATAACAGTACAGAAAGCGATTGTGCTAATCGGCAATGATGAAATTAATATACACATATAGGGGTAATTAGATTGTTCACCAGATGAGGGTTATCAAGCCATGTCGCAAAGATATCTTCGAACCGGAATTTTACCTTCATATGGTACATCCAATCCATCAAATAGTGGACAAAATGCTTAACATTCAGCATTTTCAGGTACACTTATTCTTTTGTGACAGCATAATGTTCTTTATTTAAGAGACGCAAGGTCTGTCAACTGCCCAGAATGAATTGCGGGAGATTGAAGACCGAATTATGTTGCGTATGGATGAAGAAGCTACGCTGAAAGGTCATCTTGCGGAGAGTGAACGAGAAAGAGATGAATTACGACTGCAACGAGATGAGCTGAAAACAGCTTTGCAGTTAGCTTACAAAAAAACTGAAGGTATCACTTGGGGCTGGAACAGTAAAGTGATAGTAATAAATTATCAGCATCTTTTAGCAAGAATGGTAACAGCTGTAATGATGAAAAGATCTTAATTTTGACAGTATTATTTCTGTGTTTAAGGAACATGAAGATTTCTTTCAAACAAAAAAGTCAAAAACCCCTTTCGTAATCACTGTCAGTGAGAGGCTGAGGTACTCTAGAAATAGCTCAAATGGTAGCAAATGCCAACAGCAACCACCCACTGGCGGAGCGAGAGGGGTGGGGGCAGTTCTTGACTTTTTCTTCCGAGAATTGCTCACAATCAACCGGAAGGCGAGTTTGACTCCCTGGCATATGCCATTACCAGTTTACCATCAAAATAAATGAATGGGTCGTAGAGGAACTGGTTGTTTTAACAGTGTCCCATAAAGTAGAGGGTTGGAAAGAGGCTGACTACCAGTTGATGCATTTTTGCTTAAAACAATGGGTTCGATAACAGCATTGATAACACGAAAGTATGTTTGTTAAAATGAAAGCTAATTCCAGTAAAGTAATTTGTAGAATCCTAAATCACTATCGGACAAATGCATAGATTCCATCGGTGTTGCTTCATCGCCTTCTGATGTTCTTTTTTCAGATTTGACTAATATTGAGAATGCACTACGAAAGGAGCTTAGAATTGTGAAGAGCCAATTGCAAGATGATGAAAAGAAGTCAGAAAAGCTGGCCAACGATTTGAAGCAACTGAAAAAAGAGGTATGTGTTTATAGAGCTGGTGGAAGCTGAGAATAAAGGGGATGGAAGGGGGAAAAATTTGTTTGTGGAGCCGTTCAAATTTTGTTTAGTTTGGGGAAGACGTTACTCGTACATTTGCCTTTCCACAATGCCTGATAGTCATTTCGGCCACTCATCATTTTAGTGATGGTTGTCGGTGAAATCCGCGAAAAGCCGATAAAAAAAAGCTAAAGAAAAAAGTATATGCTATCTAGAAAGAATCAGATACAACATAATTACTCCCAAACTGCCTTTAAGGCAACATCCTCCTAAAGTTTCAGCTTTCTAGCTTTTCTCATTCCCGAGTTAGCAGTTTTTCTGCCAAAACTTTCCCTTGTCCGCGCGTGAGTCGTAGGCGTGCGCGATTGTTAATATCACGCTCCTGTGTGCGCCCTTGGCCAGGGAACACACTGGCCAAATTCCAGCATTAAAGCCTGCTTGGTTTGCGAGTAGGAATACCCGGATAGACGAACACACACACACACACACACACACACACACACAAACATACACATGGGTATGTGTTTTTAATATGTGGTTTTTGCTGCCTGTTGAAGCGCTTTAGCATTGCACGGCAAAAACCCATAAAAATAGGGGCAAGAGAAGGAGGTCTGGGGGAGGCGGGGGAAGGAGGTAACGCGGGATTATTAAGGAAGTGTAAAGATTCAACATATAAATGAGGTGCAGTTCCTTTCTTTTTTCCAGCAATTTTAAAATGAATGAATTCATTTCCAGAATAAGCAGTTGGAATCGTCATTGGCCGAGAAAACAGCCGAGATAACAAGTTCTTCATTCCTGATCAAACAATTCGAAAAGGCCCAACAGCAAGCAATGAAAGAATTGGATGAAGAGAAGCAAAAGGTGTGTGTTAAAGTATAGAATCTTTTCGCTTCGCAACTAGTTTTTCGCTATTTTTTATAACTCTTTTCGTCTTTTCTCACAGTTTCTGTTCCTCCCTTTCGCCCAAATCATTGAGCTTCAGTATTTTAGCTGATGATTTGTCACAAAACTGTTTCAGTCCTTGATATTTGTGAAAGAAATACAGTTCATAGCATCTCTTCCTCTTTGGGTAGTTTTGTTTTCCTCTCACTGCACGCGACATGGCGGTATCTCTTATTTTTCATTCCATGAAGAAAATTTTTCTACGTGAAGGAAGAAAATGTGTAAGATTTTGATCCACAGTATCACAAAATTGAGTTAGAGAGGAGTAGAATTCAATTCGAAGACGAAAAATTTGGACAAGCAGATGCAAGATTCTCTAAGACACACAAACCATGGTTAAATGGGCAAAAGTTAATAGCAGAGGTATTAGAAACGATCACAGAGTTAAAAACTGTATTGTATAAGCTAAATGAGTCCAGAAACATGGTCACAAAGAAGCTAAAGATTATCAAAAATTTT